TGCCATTCGTGTGCGAATTGGAGCACAGTTGCCGTCAGTTTGCAAGTGCCTGTAAATACACAGGCAAACCCAACATGTCCGAGTCACAAACGAGAGTGACCTTTTGGTTACGCTTGCAATCGATCTTTTTGCTTTTCCATGGCTACGGCGCACCATTTTATGGCTACGGCATAGAACCTTGAGACAGTAATTCGACGCTGAAGGTCAAACGAAGTTTGTGTCTGTTTTGTGTTCTGTTTTGAACCAATTGACCTTGTTGCAGTCATACATTCTCACTGTTACATTGAGGCTCAAGGCCCTTCTTTGACTCAGACTCAAGCATAGGCAGGAAAGCCTTGCTGCGTTGCTCTTGCGCCATAGTGTCAGACCCAGGGCGGCCACTGAGAATGCTACCACAGCGGGTATGTTCTCCTTAGGGATTGCCTGAGGGATTACTTGCCCCCGGCCCAGGACTCGCCTTTAAGCCGAATCTGATCATCCCCTAAAAGACCGACCCCCCCCCAAAAAGACCATGTTGGGTGAACTGGCCAGCAGTGATCGGAGTTGGGCTTACATCACTGGGTTGTAGAACGAGATAGAAACCACGGGCAATGTTGAGCCAACATGTTGCCAACCCTATTCTGTTTTTCGTTTTGCATTGAGACATTTCGACATGGCATGTTGATTCTTCTGAAGCGCCGAGGTATGTCAACAGCGAGGACATCCGGGAGACAGGTTACACGTACGTCATGCCCAAGAACATCCTGAAGACCTTCATTTGCATCAGTGCAGCTTGGACCTACTGCTTGTGCTCGTCGCATCGCAATCCGATTGCCTTCGCTTTTGCTGTGTTGTTTGCGCAAGACAAAGAGTAACAACTGATAAAACAAAGTCCGCCTGCATGCCGAAGCGTTACAACCATATCTTGGGTTGATATCCACCGCGCTCGTCTAAATTTCTAAATAAGTTTGCCGACGTTATGACATTTTGGCATGTAGCCAAAGGGCGCCATTCTTGGAAGAACTGGCCGAGCTACCCATGCTGTCCTTGTGTGTGTGTGTGCGCTCGCTGTTGTTGGCCTGTTTGATTGTTTGTTTGGTTGGTTGGTGGGTTGGTTGTTTGGTTGTTGGTTTGATTGATTGTTTATTGGTGTAGGGTTCTGTCAAAAGGCTGGTCATTCATTGCAGAAGCTTTGCTTGTTGCGCGCTGTGGTTTGCGCAGCATTTGTTGGGCCACACACACAAAACTACTTTGTTTGCTGCACGCCCGCATTCGGCCATATTAAGCATCACTACGAAAGGGTGTTCGGTTCATCATTATTGGACGACTTACAGGACAATAATTTTGTGACGACCAGGGAGTCCCTGATTTTAGGTCTCTAATCACAAAACCATGTTGAGACATGGCTGGCTTGTGCAAAAGTCTTTGTGCCCAAGCTAAGGTTCCTGCAGTTTGGTTGGTGAATTGGCTATGAGTCTTAACGGGGACCACCTTAAATGAGGTCGGTGGACTGACATTTCATCTTTTGAGTGAGGTTCACCAAAAGATCCCTGATTAAAACTCGCACTCAAGTAAAGTGGATGTACGAAATCCTGCGCCATCGTTCAGAAGCCCTGTAGTGATTCGATTCCCCTGTAAATACCGTAGCAAACGTTATGGTTTCCCGATGTTCCCGAGGTTCCCGATGGTTTCTTATGTTGTGCGAAGAGATTTCGCAACCATCCACGGTATGATTCACCAAAAGAATCCGAGTGAGTCCCTCAGCTTTCTCGTCTGAGGACCTGCGGACGCAGGTCGCCGCGTATCTCTACGGCATCTCGCCGCCGGATAACCCGCAGGTGAAGGAGATTCGGCGCCCCGGAAAAGCGAAGGGGCGGGTCTCCGTTGGAGATAGCCAATTGAAGCAGATTCGTGCCTCCCACAAGCATACTGGGTCCCCCAGTAGTGCCCTTTTAGCCTTTTTTGGGGGACCCCTACCAAAATAGACGAAAGAAGTTGGTACCCTAAACCCTAACCTCTCTACTGGAGGACCATAGCCCAACTGGTGGGGTCCAAGACCCCAACTGGATGCCATGTGTGGCATGCCCTGCTTCCAGGCCTCCCGGGAAAAAACTCCTCAGGTCACGGCAAAAATTTCGGAAAGTTGGGTCAACATTTGGTGCCGAGCGGCACCCCCTCGCCCTCCAAAAAGTCGAAGCTCCCGTTTGAGCGTCCCTTGGTTTTCGTTGTTCAGGGTGCCCGCAAGAGGAGGAACGCCGAAAGGAGAACCACCATTCTGGGGGTTGGGGGGTGGGGTCTCCTAAATGGGGGCCTAAAAGCAGACCCCGAAGAATGGGGCGGATGTGGATCGAGGTGCATGGTGATGGTGCCCCAGGTCGGCACACACAGTGCCCTGGCGCGATTGGGGCCTCGCAGGTGGGCACCTTTGAAACGGACCTGGGCAAACCACTCGGAGCCCTGGGTCGGTGTTGCCATTATTTTTTGCCCGAAATGCGGAAGAATGATGGCAAGCTTCAGAAAACGGACAGAGTCTGAGTGAGTGATTCGGCGTCGAAAAGAAAACTCCAGGGATACTGTATTTGGTGCAAACCTTAAGGCTTTGGACTCGGAAGGTTTTTGTCAGGGAGCAGGGAGAACCACTGCAGGCCTTGGGCAAATTGGCTTGCTGCACACCTGTGAAGCGGAAAAGTCGCGGTCCACGTTTCCAAATTCAAACGGAAGACATGATCTTCATTTGAGAAGCGCCGAACCCAGCCACCTCTCCAAAAACAGGCCATGTTAGAAGGTGGTTCTACTACCTGATGTCATACTGGTGATATATTTGTATAGTAAAGCTTTTTAAACATAAACCTTTTGGACAAGTTGTAACGAGGTGGTTTTGAGGCTCAGAGCTAAGGAGCTGTTATGATGTGGCGAATCTGTGGAGCCACTCCTGTAGGCTATGAACAGAGTACTAAAAGATTACAAGAACCAACAGGTGGAAGGACAGTTGGGCCACCAATTCCTCAGGGCCTCCAGAACCCCTCAAAGTGTATCAAATGCTTGAAGTGACCAAACCGAACTGGGCGCCGGGCCCGCCCTTCGATCCCTGGCGTTCGTCGGAGGACGTCGCTTCCGTCGGACGCTGAGGCAACGTGACGCTGCCGCAGCAGTTGCCGGACCACGACCACCTGAGGGACCTGGAGCCGCTAGGGTGGATCCACACGCAGCTCGGCCAAACCCCCAAACCCCCGCGGCTCGCGAAACACCCGGGGGCGGTGGGAGGGTTTGTCTCCAAATAGGGCTGGAATCCCCCCCCAAAAAACAAGCAGAAACAAAAGCAAAACGAAAACAAAACAGCAATTTTGGTTTCCCTTTACCATACAGCACAAGAAGCCGTGTTTCTTTACCACTGGTCTCCCTAGTTTGAGACACATCATACTACTCATACGAGTCTTTTTTGGTTAGTTTGGCAAGACATAGACTGGGTCTGCTGGTTTACATAGCTTTTATTCCCAATTTTCTATTGAAAACCATCTTGTTTTCAACAGGTCACCTATGCCAGTACTGATAATTTAGTATTGATATATAATTCCATCAGCCGATATGCGCATACTCTATGGGAACCAGCCAACATTGCAGGGTTCCCTTTTAGCTTCGCCATGTGGTTCGATTGTCCCCGCGCCGCGTTCATGACCCAGAAGATTAATGAAGGGAAGTTGCTGGTGATGCTGGGGATGTTGGCTGGACATGCGGGGGATGTTGAAAACGATGCTGATGATGTTGATGGACTAGCGTAAAATACGTACATGTCGCGAGAACATGTTGTAAATCACAGCATTTTAGTGGCCAGGATGGAAAGCAAAATAAATCCAAAAAAAACATCCCAAATTAAATCTCGACCCTTAATGAAGTCTTTTCCGCTTCCCAATGAGCATCCAGGAGAAACACACTATTTCCACAGAGCCACAGATGAGCAAAAAGCACAGGCTGTCTTTGTAGATCCTATTGAGACATGGTTTCAGATAGACTCTGGTGAAAGCTGCTTTTGGCCTTGTCTTATGGGTACTTGTCATGACGAGGATCCTACACGTGGTTCATGTTTCTGCATATATGTTCCTAACTTGCTCTGCAGCCACTCTCACCCTGACCCTTGTATGACACCTACATACCATTGTGCAATCATGCCCCCACCGTGGAACCGCAATGATACCACAGTCATCAAAAAATGTTTTCTGCTGTGTAATCAGTTTGCATCACCAGACCACCATCACTCGACTCCTGACACCATATGACCATGCGCTATGACACCGCTTGATATCACAAGCGCACCCTTATCGCACCAGAATTGCACCACAATCACACCACTATGACAAGGTTGAACAGTTTTGCACTGTTCCTCCATGGAGCCTCCTTTCACTTTGCTGATAGATGCTGGTGCGTTAAAGACAGGGCATTCGAACACATCGCTTCTCATGTTCTCCGGACCACAGCAGGGCATCAGGGCTTGGCCTTAGCGCCGAACTGGTCGAAACCAAACCAGCAGCACGCAAACGCGCAGTGCCGGTTTAGGTTTATTTGGAAGGATATTTGGAACCTGGAGCGCACAAATGCTTCTCCCTTTGTCAGCACAAGACAGCAAAGGCCCGGTTTGTGACATATCTATATTTCTTCGCCACGCCTGGAGTTTTTCTCATGCCGCCATTCGAAGAAAGAAACACACTGAGTACAGTAGGGGAACAACACTTTTGTGTGCCATGATGCCATGCCTTTTGGTTTCTTCACAATCCTTTGCCAAAGGAGCTGGCTACCAGTTGCAGATACCGCCAGCTGTAAAGCACAGGCCCCGTTCGGACACTCCAACCCTTTGGTTTCCTTTGCTTGCTGGTGCTCAGGGAATGAGAAATGGAATGACCCCTACAAACCATCCCAACTCGTGGTTTCTTGGGTTGTTGGTTTAAATGGGGTCATTCCCACCGGGGCTGTTCCCCTGAGGCAGCCGCAAGAGCAGCCGCACCTGAGCCCGCAGGCGCGGAGGTGTTTTTTGAGCGGCACACGGCAAAGGGTAGGGGGGGAGCGGGGGGAAGGGGGGGTAGGGGGGCAGAAGCTGCACTCCCTTAAACATTCATTTGGGGGGTGGTTTTGGGACGCTGGTGCCTTGTGCCCCCGGCCCAACTTTTGAAGCAAGAAAGATCGCCTAAGGGACTGCGAATCTCTGAAGTGAGCCCCAGGCCAAAGAGATGGGAACTGCCTTCGAGTCACATAGAAACAGGCCTTTGGCTGGTGTTCTTTTGGCCTACTTGCCGGATCTTGCCGGTGTGTAGAGAAGATGGTTGTGAATATCGCCATGCGGGAAATCCGGGCGCTCTTGGTGGTTGAAAACTGTACTGGGTGCTGAATGGCCCATAGCTTTTCATTTGTCCCAAGGGAACCAACAGGAGATTGGTATTTGTTCATCTTTTGCAGACCCTTTGCCCCCAGGTTGTGTGTTCATTCTGCTTCAGTTGGGCAACCTCAGTTTGATAAAATGGGTTCCATGTTTGATGCCCCCGAGCCAAATTCAAATCATGTGCCCAATTCTCGGCTAGGCTCAAGTCGACCTTGAGATCCAGAATCGGAACCCTGGACATTTTAGGCTCGCTTCAGGAACATCGTCATCTTCCATTTGCTCAAGAATATGTTTTATTCTCCCTTGCTGGTGTTAAAAGGAATTTATCACTACTGGACATATTTTCATGTTTTCCAGCGGTCTTAACCAAATGGAAGTCATGGTGATGGCGACCACTGTCAGACCCTGCGGTCGCACCCTCGCTCCCGGCCACGCCGCTCGGTGGGGAAATGGCAGGACGTGACGTTCCACGCGCGGATGCTGGCGGACAACAAGACTTGGCTGGCTGATCAGACGATCATCATCACCTGCAGCTTCACGCCAGGCGCGGACCGCGGTGTCGAAGGTCAGCTTGGTTGATTTCCATAGACGGATTTGGCGCGTTTCGGCAAACGCGGAGTCGAAGGTCAGCTTGGTAGAACTCAAAAAGACAGACTTTGTCTCCTTTGGGAACCCCACAAAGGGGTCAGCGTGGTTTACCCATAGATGGACTCTGCTTTGGGAACCCCACAGTTGTGGGTGTGCTTCCCCTTAACGTGTCCTTCGAACCCGGGGGTATCTTGACACGCCCACATGGCGCTGGCAGTTGGGTTCTCATCGAGTGCCCGGAAAAAAGAAAAGAAAAACAAAAAACACCTGGGCCAGGAGAGGTCCAGAAAAATGATGGAGGCGCCAATGGCCGGCGTCAAGCAACAGATTGGGAGGATGCCGCCATCTTGTAACTCAGTTGTTCAGCGGCTCCAATTCTTTTTCCCTTCTTTTTTTGGTGACTGCCCCACTAAAATGGTCTTCCCAAAAAAGGGTTCCCTTTTTTTCCAATGTCACTGAACAACTGAGTGTATCAAATGGCCGGCCCAGAGCAGAGAAATGTCACACCCATCCAATGGGCTTGGAATCATTCTGAGGTGCTATGGATATATTTGGCATGCTATGTGCCTGGACTTGGACAAACCCATTTCCATGTTGGGTCATATCCGACAAACAAGCGCACACTTTGGTCTTTGCGGCCACCCCATCCCCAGCTTTGAGCGGCCGACTCGACGCGGCTGCCTGCAGTGCCCACCATGTGGGGGCTTCTCAAAATGGTGGATCTCTTATTGGGTGCTTTTTAAAGGAAGCCAGAAGCACCCTGCTTTGAGAAGCAACACTACTTCTCGAATTCTGGTCGGCAGTTGAAGTTTGCAGGGCCTAGGCCAAAAATGGTGGCTGCTTTTTTTGTTCTTGGCATTGGCAGACCTTCCAGTACTAGGTTTTGATTATGACTCTCAGGAGACAGTCGATCACACGACAGGGGTAGGACATTTGCCTGATTTCCTTTCTAAATTCTATGTCCATTTGCAGAAGCGACTTGTCGGTGCTAGTACCTGGGTGAGTTTTAGCAGTCCTAAGTCCGGGACGAGATCTCATTTCGAACCTTCCATGAGGCTTGGCCCATGTTGGGTTTAGAAACTGTTAGGGGAACCAAGAGTTTCATGCCTGGTCTTCTTCGTGTGACCGCAGCGTCAAAAGGCCCTGTTGGGGGCAAATTTGGCTTTTCCAATAAACCTGCAAAAGCTGATTGACTTTAATGAGAAATGGAATGACCCCCAACAAAAACCATCCAACTGGTGATTTCCCCATTGCATTGCTCGACAGCCCGGTGGTTGGGGATACTGCACGACAAGCAAGTGGTTTCCCCACCATTCTGAAAAGATCCCCACTCAGTTTCAGGGACTGGGTTCATTCCATCAGCAAGTTTTCTTGGTGCTCAGGGAATGAGACATGGAAGGACCCCAACAAAAAACCATCCCAACTGGTGGTTTCCTTCAAAGGGCCTGGGTTCATTCCATCTGCAAGTTTCACTTTGGTGCATTTTGCCAAGGGAGGTTAGGACTTTAACTTTTTGCCAACTACTGCGTTTTCCGAATTAAACCACTAAAAGTACCGGGTTTTCC